GAGATTGTGTTAACAACGTCAATAGTTCCACTTGCACGCAAGTTTATGGAGTTGGTGTTGTACAATATGCGTTGCTACTTGAATCCATAAAGTTTACAGCTATAAACAAAAGTAGATGTCCCAAAAACACCAATCACACTGCAGATCCCGCTGCATTTAAAAGTATTAAGAATATTATTTACCCAAACTAACACAAAATATTTTGAATGCTTTGCAAAACCATAAATAGAAATGGTGCATTCTAATAAAAACTTGAACCTAAACATATGGGCCACAGACATATGGTAGGATTTAGAGGAAATGTTCTTCAAGTTCTTCCTCTGTATCCCAGTCCTCGCCTGATGAAGACTGACATGCTGGCTGCAGTTTTACTTCTTCTTTTTCTTCTTCTTCTTCTTCTTCTTCTTCTTCCTTTTCTTTCTGTTTTTCTGTCTCTTGTCTTCCCTCAGGTTCTTTCTCTGTGTTCCAGTCCTTGCATGATAAGGACTGAGATGCTTGCTTTCCTTCTTTCTGTTTCTCTGTTTCTTGTCTTCCCTCAGGTTCTTTCTCTGTGTTCCAGTCCTCGCCTGCTTGAAATTTCTTCTTTTGTTTTTCTTTATTTTCCTTTAGAGCATTCTTCTTCCTCTTTCTTCGCAATACTTTACTTTGGGTAAAACACCGTTTGATCTGCTTGTGTAGCTGTTTCAACTGCCACTGAACTCAGTTCGGACGTTTGAACGTATAGATTACTTCATGGGCAGCGCGGGCGTACGGTATTTACGCACGAGTTGGTTCGCATCAGAAATTGAACGAGCAAGGCTTTGCGAGTGAGATCCAGAAAGCGAGAGAGATTTATCTGACATACAATGCGAAAAAAGTCCATGTCTAACACTGCACGTGTTTAGGTGTCCTATTACATTATGTACTAAACATCTGTGACTGGACGAAACGCTTTTTTTCACGTGTGTGAAAGTCGTTTCGCCATTCTGATTGGCTGCGAACCCTGAACAGGGTTTTCACACGCCAAATTTCAATAGAAAATCTCAATTAGTATGAAAAAAATATACTTAAAACAAACGTGTTCTGTTGGAACACTACAACAAAAAACATTTGCGCGGTTGAAACAGTCTAGTAAAACAAGACCAAAAGAGGGCATAGTCATTTTGGAAAAAAAAAATCGTGCAAGGGTTTGAAGGTTGAAAAAAAAATCCTGCACTCCTGCTGGTTGTGAAAAAAATAACATGCCTTTCCAGAAAGTCCTACCCCCCCCTTCACATTTCTAATGGTGCATCCCTAAGTGTGAGTCGTGTATAACCGCCGCTTTTTTCTCGCCTTCTACCCCACCCTCCTGATCTCACTCGATAGCCCTTAGGTAGAAAGTACGCACAGTTCAGAATCTTTTATTATATGTTTCTTACTAAAAAAGGAAAAACATAAAGCATTCGGATACAGTTTTTATTTTGTCTGGGTAAGGCGTGCCAGTTCATCCACTTGACCTGGAAGGGAGCTGTCAGCACTATTAAAATTCCACATCACATATCGGTATCCCATATTTTACTGTGACCTATTGAGACCTACGAAGGTTAGGCTCGATCGTTGTGGCAAGTCTTCCTCGATGAGGACGTGAGTTTGCACGGATTATAGACTGGAGGGAAATCAACTCTATTATGGTATCAAAAAGGGCAGAATCGTAACTCCACAAGCAAATATCATTTTCGTCGAAACTGAGTGACTGGTGGGTAAAATTATATTAGGGTATTCTCGTGTTTAATTTTGCGGAGATCGAGAAGACAAGTCTAACTGTCAGTATTATATAACTGTAACTACTCCAAGTTTTAGCTCTCACCTAGTAGTAGACCAACTGAACGTTTTAGCAGATATTCGTATTAAAATCAGTACAGACATCTGTTTTGAGATGCTTGCTGGGAGACTTTTTGATGTGATCCAGCCGATAGAATCTGGGTTCAAAATGGAACATAAAAAGTATTACTCTACATAAGTAACATCTCACAATAAGTTCATGTGAAAGTTGGACAAACTGATTTTTGTTTTATGAATGCTATGGTTCGTTTCAGGCCGTTATAACTTCAGCATCGAGACGGTGATCCATCATTTAGAGTTCATTTGTACATGTATTTGTCAGACAGTTTTCGTGCCTGTCATTGCGTTCCCTGACCAAATGTATCGATTAATTTGCCGGTCACGCAGGCGGTTTCTTGTTTAGCTTGAATTATGGGCATCTGAGAGTAACAGAATAGTGGTTTCATAGAGTATGTATCTTTCCTGGTTCCATGATTATATGTCTTAGAGTAGCCTCCACAACCCACCGGCCTCAGCTGTGTGACCTTAACGGGGCTTAATCAAAACCAATGGCTTGTTGTGTGCTTCCTTGTCTAACAAGCAATGAAATGGTGTTGGAACAGTAAAAATGCATGACTGAACGTAAATTGGCACTGAAAAAAGTATACTCCTCTTTTGGCCAATCCAAAATACCCGTTCCCCACTCTCTCTCCCCCTCCCCCCCCCCTCCACCAAAATAAATGTCCCCAGGTAATACTGATCTGCCACGACACCTCCCGATTTTAGTATTTTCTTTGATATTATAAAAGGCGGACAACGCTGATTCAAATAGTGTTCGCTAGTTCCTAGATCATGACATGAAACCACTTGTCCTGACTAACAGGAAGTGACCTGAGGAGGGGTTACTTGAGAGATCCTGTATCTCACCAGACATTTTCTCAAGTTTTCTTTGCAAAATGCTATAAACAAAAATATTGCTAATTGTAAAGATGTGGCAAATTATACAAATTACTGTTAGAATTAAGTTAGAATAAAGGACACTAAGCTACGTCTTTGATGACTTTAAGATTTAGACATGACTATTTTCTTACGTTTTTTCCTCACAGCTTTCCCTTTTTTGGTAAGATTACGCTTCTCATGATGCGCAATTCTTAATTCTTTTCTTCTTCCTCTTTAAGGCGAGCTTTGCAGTCTCGCCGCCATGATTAAGTTCGTCCAGTTTGCCGAACTTCGTTCGGATTGGTACCAAGGCCCTGAGTAAATATGTTTTAAAAATACTTCAATAAAACTTCTACTCGCAACCCGCTATTAACTATTGGGATTCTGTTGACTCAAGGTTCTTAACTGGGGTATCCGCAGTAAGCAGAGGTGACTGTGTGGCATAGGTGGTCTCGCTGTTTAGGCGGTCACGCAACGCTTAGCGGTATTGCGTGACGAAGCAAATAACGGCTTCATAGGGGACAAAAGCAACTCGTAATGGGTATTGTAGCATTACGAGATAATTGTACTCTAAAATACTCCCCAGTAGAAAGGCCACAAATGTAAGAGATTAGTCCTTAAGTAATGAACAATTTTTGAAGTTATACTCAAAATGTTTGTATGGACACAAAAGAGTGTGCATAAAATAACGAAAAAACAAAAGGTATATCTATGAATGAAATCTTTGTGTACACTTTTCCGTTCTTCAGGTTACAATATATTTACCAGCCCGTAGAAATTAATTATTCAGTATAACTTGGTACGATTAGACTAGATTTTATTCATCAGTTACCGTTTTTGGGAAATATGTGGCGAGGAGCAAAATTTTGTGAGTGTAAATGGTGGCAGGACTAGTAGACAACTGAAGGTGCTGGTGATTGTCAGTAAGTTAAAATAGTTAAGTTAGTTCCTATTAAAATTTATGTACATGTAGTTTCCGAAAAAATGGTGTTTAGAAGGAAATGAAATTGATGAGTAGTACCCCGTAAACATTCAAATAGCATAGGGCATATATCTTTATTATACCGGAAATTGGTAAACATCATTGATGTACGTGCACCACGTATGAAGAGGTTTTAAGAGTTTAGCCTCGAAATGTGCCATTAAAGACAGTAAAGAGATAAGCAAATGAAGACCATCTTTTTTAGACCACGAGTAGTCTCTCTTTTGACTCAGTCCGTCGAGCGAAACGCACGAGAGACGATAGTGACCACGCGCATGAACGAAAGGCGCGAGGAGCTCGAGTGCACTCCCTTCACTGAAACTGGAGTACTCGCAGTCTACTGTCCGTGACAGTGCCATGAACCAGAAAATGTTGTTAATGGCAGAAGACGTTTGAGACGTCAGAAATCGCTAGCTAGGGGTCGAGGTTTTAAAAGGAATTTATATGGAGAGGTATCAAGATCTTTTTTTGCGAAATGCTTGAATGTGTATAGGGATATGACGCCAGAAATAGCAATGATTTCTTTATTGTATTGTTTTCTTGGGTTAAAAAGTATTTTAAGAAAGGTGAGATACTTTCTATGCGGTGACCACCAAACGAACCAATGGGGTGTCATGTTTTCCAGTTGTTTCTATAAACACAAGTCACTTTTCTGGGTACATGACTTTAATCAAAATATTTATAGAGAAAACAGAAAGCCAAAATTAGGCTTTTTATTTAAGTTTTGACTGACGTGAGTTTTGCGTAACATTACTAGGCTTATCCTTGCCTAAAACCTATATATAAACTACAGATTTCCTTTGCCTCTGTAAAAAAATCTCCTAGAGCCTGAACTAGCTGCATGACGAAGTTTAATTGACCTCACAGAGCATCACGTTGAAACTGAAAATCATCTTTTATAAACAATCAGGGCTATTCCTATCCTAAATCAGGACAGGGCGTGGCGTGAGATTTTGCGGTGTACGCACGAGAAGAAGAGTTAGAGCAGCGAAGGCGCTCCAAACTGCGGAAGTTTGGGGGGGCGAGGGGGGGGGCTGGCCGCATATTATATAATACACAGGGTAACCCTTCCTTGCTTCAGGAACTAAAAGATTTCCAGATTTCAGCTGTACACACGGGCGTATGCATGCATCGACTGCCACACGTTATTTTACTTTAGACTCATTTTTAAAAGTAACCTTTTTGACCTCAACTAAGGTCTAAAAATACAATTTTTTACTGAAATCCCTTTTTAAAACAAGTATTCTTTTTCTTTAAAACAGGTGAGGGATGATGATATACTGAAACATCGCAAGTCATAATGCCATTTGTCAAAAATTTATGCGAGGAAACTTTGCCACCGTTTTCTCTGTCAGTGTTCACGGCGTCCATGTCTGGTCTTCTCTGTCTTATCACGGTACCTGGTAACGTCTTAGTATGTGTTGCAATGCTAAAGGATCCATACAAAGAGCTGAAAAATTCATTCAACTGTTTCGTACTACAATTAGCAATCAGCGATCTTGTAGTTGGTGCAATCACAGAGCCCTCCTTTTTCGTTTTCCATACCAGAGAAGCAATGGGCTACCCAGTCATGCAAAATATCTGGCTTATTCACCTGCCATTTTTTATCTCTTACACAGCGTCGATACTGAGCATCGCAGCTTTAACGCTTGATAGATATCTCACGGTGATGTCGCACTACAAGAGAGTGTTATCCACTAGTACAGTGACCTTGATATCAGTACTGATATGGGTGGTCTCTGTTTCATTACCATGCTTTTACTTCATGATTGGCTTTTACATGTTTGCATTCTTGTTTATGAACATGGCGCTCATCATAGTTGTTAGTATACTAACGTTTTCCTATGCGCGAATTCATCACAGACTCAAGGCACAAATTTCTCGCTGGGACTCATTTTACCAGAAGGAGGTCAAATTAGACGCAATGTCGATGGAAAGAAACGTGAATCGCGCTTTTTACATCATTTTAGGAATATTCATGGTTTGTCTTTTCCCCTCTCTGGTTATGATATATATCATCAATTTCTGCGACAGCTGCAACTGTACTTTAATTCACTGGTTAAGAGACTTGCAATTTTTATTTCCATTGATCAACTGCTCCTTAAACCAATTTTTATACGCCTGGAAAAGTCGAAACTTTCGACGCGCTATTTCTGCATTGTTGTGTAAAACTGTTTCTTACCGAATCACAGAGCCACCACACAGCCCTGATGGAATTACTTCTGCAAGCTTTAAATCCACAGATGAAATGCAATTACTTCCACTGGATCCTGTCAATCTTCTTATGGCGGCCGGGAACGGGTGTGGAGAAATAAATCAAAACGTTTTTGACTAAAATTTCCTGCCTAATCCAGAAGACATTATATCGTGACTGAAATTAAGAAATAGAGAGGAGAAATCGTTTCGTCACGTTGCCATGGTAGCAAAATTTCTGGATCTCAACAAACCGTGGTTTTGTAAATATGGCAGAACAAAAAACGAAAAAATCGTCATGTATGACCTTCCTGTGCATAATTGCACTTAGCAACAAAATGGTAGCCCATGCTACTTCTTCCATTTTTGGGACAATGCAAATGGCCGTCTCTGTAAAGAAAGATTATTGAGATCCAGAAATTTTTCTACCATGGTAACGTGACGTCAGAGTTGTCCTCTCTATTTCAGGCGGTTTGTCTGGTTTCCAGTCCTTCTACACTGTATTCCGTACAGGTTGGATCGGAGTGTGCGAACTGATTGGAGGCTAAGATCCTCCACCGTATTTTACGACGCCACTTTTTCAGTGGTTTTCAACAGAAGAAAAGACCCCACGAGGCTGTGCGGGGAACATTGGATGAAGTGCTTACAAGCGATTGCTGGAAAATCTTTAGACTGTTTTTTGGAGGGATAACAAAAGATGCATTAGCGAGTGATGAGTTGAATGTGTTGTGTGAAATGTTAAGTGTACTAAGTTATGACTGTTTTTAAGATAAAAGTTTGCTGCTTCCCGTTTTGGGCAGCCGTTTTAGAGTTACTATTAAATGAAGTTATTGTTGTAAACTGCGCATTAGCCATGAACTCCTCACAGAAATTTTTTATCTAGAGTAACTAAACCCATAAAAAGGATACTTTATGCAGGTAGTTACTAGTTAGCACTGAAAAATCTAACTTTCAGAGAATGATTTGACGGGAATAAAGATCGTGTTCATAAGGCGAATATATTGAAATCTGCGAGAGAAACCAAAGCAAACACGGAATTCCAGCTTAATACGAGTTCATGTACTTTTACCATAATCGGTTGGCAGAGCGACAAATTATTCTTTTTTGCGAGGTAAAGCAACGATTGATTTTAGTCGATTAACCAGTAAATCAATCTTGCGAGCAATTTATCTACCCGGCCACCACGAAGCGATATCAATCAACTGCTCCCATGGTCCCGCAGTGATTTTAAATTAAATAGTGTGCTTTTAGTTCACACTCCCGCAGCCCGTTATCTTGCAGTCAGTCTATTTAATGCCTCCGCAGTCTCCCATTTCTGTAGACGAATATTTCAGGAAGTTTAACTTAATATAGTCTGCTGGCTTGAAGAACTCGCTGGTCAAGGGTAACCAAGACGCTGGATACAATGGGGAAAACGGCGTGTGCGTACACGTCACCTGAAATCCTTACACCAAACAACAAGGGCTAACGAATACCTGCTGTTGCTCAGGGGCACCCAACGAATGTTTTCTTTAAAATATCTTGTTCGGACTGGGAGCAAATATTGCCTAGAATTTTCTATTACGCGAGGACGGCTAAATTTTCTACATGACCGTTGCCTTCATGCACAAAGCTTACCTAATTTCCTACAAAGCTTACCTAATTTCCTACGATTTTCTGAAGGTTACTTTTTCACATTTCACTCATCAGGTTAGGCTATTTTTCGTGGAAGAAAGAAAACCTAAAATATTCGGATTAAAAAATATGAAGAGAGGAATCAGAAAAATTCTCATTTTCGTAACACGTTAAATTGCCTCTAAAATTTTCGGGAAAAAAATACTGAAGCCCTTGTAATTTCAAAAAGCCCCAAGTTGCCCTAGGATGACCGATATTATAGCGCCGCCTAGAATACATTTCTAGAGATCCAAAAGTATTCTGGATAGCGTAAAAAGTGTTTTCAATGTATTTAGGAGGAAACCGTCGTTGGGTGCCACTGATTGCTATTGTCTTGTCATGGTTATGTTTTGGGTATGCTAGGTTTTTAATGAAACTGAGGAAATTTTGGCTTCCCGATTGTTTTTGAGGACAATATCAAACATGTAGCTAAAGCGATGCATGATAACTGAAAGCGGCAATTCTTACCTTCTTTGTCAAGAATATCAACCTAAACTTGTGTTACAAAAATGACAATAATTTCACCATAGTTGGGAAAAGAATGAAAAGGTCTGATTTGTTCTAATCGTCGCGTTCATCTTTTTTTGGTTGCCGTCGTTTTTACCTTTTTTTAAGATTCGATAGATTTAGCTGCTTAAACCCGGCGAACAATTACCTCAATTCCAATCGCAATTACAAGTACCGGAAGGTGGCACAAATGCTTTTAACAATAACAACCCGCAATTCATTTGATTTCATTTGTATTTTTTTTTTTCGCTTTTTAATTTTACGCCAAGTTGACATAATTGTGCATTCAAATTGTTAATTGCGGTGTTATTCTTTAAAGCGAAATGTAGCGAGACCTTTCGTAAAAAATAATTAGAAGAATGGATTTTCTGCTATTTGGGCTTGCTACAACGCTTCACATAACTACTTCGAGTTTGATGAAATTCGAGTCATATGTCTCCATTTACCAACATGTTCGCCATGCATAAGGGATTCTTCTTATTAAATCGTTTATTTTACTCCGTTGCTTTTAGATCTGTTGAGGTTCGTTTAACATGCAGTGTAAATCTTTATTTTCACAAGCTGACGCAACCTGAGGCGTTGTTTGAATACACTGATGTATTTTTAACTCTCAGGAAATAGATTAGTTTTCTTCTCGGTATGGGTCTTGACTCAGATTCATATTACATAGGAAATTGTTTACCACATTTCTATGAGAAAATTGTTTTAACGCGAATTGTCTACATAGATATTAAGCTGTCAAAAAAACCACCTGCTTTAAAATACATTCTCGGGACATTTTGTAGAAACATCGAAAACCTTCATGCCGAGAAAGAATGCTAACTAAGAAGTAAGACCTGCCCTGGTACGTGTCTTATTTTTGCTGTAAAAAAGGCTTTTAAGAATGAACAGAGAATCTATGTAGAATTCATATTTGTGTTTGAAAGTGCTTCTTTGCCAAAAAAAGCAAATACAGACACGTCTCCGTAGTTTTTATTTTTCACTCTTAAATTTTCGTTCATTCCCTAGCAATTTTTTGTTAGCTATTAGCAACCTTTTCGCTTCATCTTTTAGGGGGTTTCCACGCAATAGCCGGGACGGTCACATGGAAAAAAAGGAATTGGTGTAAAAAAAGTCGCAACTTACCCGCTTGCGACAGGTGACAGGAACTAGTAGCTGTTCGAATTGAGTATTATTTATTTTCAAGGAAGCGATGAAGTTCAGCAGCAATCTCTGCGACGATGTCTGGGCACCGTTCGCTACCTCAGTCACAACAGCAAGCGTTTCGGCAATTTTGTGCCTCATAACCGTCCCAGGAAACTTGCTAATCTGCTGGGCAATCATTAAAGACCCGAACAGGGAACTGAAATCATCTTTCAACTATTTGGTTCTGAACCTTGCAATAGCCGACTCCTTTATTGGAATTGTTACAGAACCCGTTTTTGTGTGGTACCACAGCGCTGAAGCGATGCACCATCAAGTCTTAGGCTTGCGTTGGGTAGTGTATATGTCATATTTCATGTCCTCTACCGCTTCTGTGTTGAGCATAGCTGCATTAGCCACAGACCGCTATATAGCAGTGACTTCTATAACCACCAGAAAGCTGTCTTCTTCACAAGTTATCGCTGCATCTGTTGCAATATGGGTTTTTTCAGGAGGATTGCCTTTTCTCTACTTCGTGGCTGGATTTTACACGTTAGCGTTTATTTTCGCTAACACTACAATAATATTAACAATGGCGTTATTACTTTTTTATTTCGTTCGCATTTTTCGGAGGCTAAACGCTCATGCAAGGCATATGAGATCAGTTCTTGGTCACGGAACTACTCATAAAGGGCTTCACGTAGAAAAAAAGGCAACAAAATGTTTCTTTCTTATCTTAGTTTCGTTCTTTTTGTGTAGTTTTCCATCTTGTGTTATGATTTATGTTATCAACCTCTGTAGCACATGTAGCTGTGTGCTAATACACTGGTTTAGGGATCTCCAATACTTACTTGTGTTGGTAAACTCCGCTTTTAACCAGTTTTTATATGCGTGGCGGATGGGTGGTTTTCGCAGGGCGTTTGGTCGGATACATCCGATCTTCGTGGGATGGGAAGGAAGAGAAAAACGTTCTACTGTATCAGTGAGTAATGAACAATCAACAGGAGCTGACCTTGACGATATGAGGAAATTCGAAAACTAAATCATTCCTAGGAAAATCAACATAGTATACGTTCGAACTTTATTTTATTGGCGATCATTTCCGTTATTAACCTTATTTACAGTAGCCGAGGCGAGGAGATTCCCGGACAAGAGACCAAAGTTTTTCAAGAATGCGCTGGTAGGATTGCTTGATAACCTTTTTTTTTTTCACAAAGTACGTTACTTTCGTGCTATGTCAAACAATTTTGCACAGTTCTGAATCCAGGATTAGAGATGCCTTTTTTAGTTTGATTTTCCGTGGTGGCTAAAACATCTGGATTAGGGTAGAGACTTTTGCTGCCTTGTCAGTTTAGAAAAGGGTTGCAACAGCTGAAAATGATTGAGGCTAAAAGTTTCAGGCTCTCAACGGCACCCACCCAAACATTTAACTTAAAGAATATTTCCTAGTCTTTCTTTGTCAAAAAGATTATAATTGTAGTTTTAGAAAAGCCGCATCGAAGAGCAGTGTAAGGAGGCCTGAAAAGAGTCATGCTCACAGTGTACATCCCGGCGTTCAACTACAGGATTTTCATAACTTTCTTTATTTTAGACACTTAGTACACTTGTTATTAGTTATGTAGGAAATGAAGTGTAAAGATTTAATTTAGGTTTGCTTTATAAGAGTTCTTAACGTAATACAATTGTTACTTGTAACTTTTATACTATATTATCACATAACGGCATTTAGGAGGCCACGGTCTTATTTGTTTTATGACCATTAAATATCTCCCTCATCAAATAAAGGCGTTAATAAATTGCAGGAGGAAGATTGACGCAAAACACGCCAAGAGGGTTTCGGATGGTTGGAAGTAATATGAAATGCGGTTGGTTGAATGAATCTCTCGTCTTTATAAGAGAAAATCTCTTATTGCGCTGCGATTGAGTGTTGGGGGGTCATTTGGTAACATTCTTTTCAACTTTCGTTATAAAGAGACTACACGACTGAACTGCAACGGAAAAAGGTGTTTTAGTGTGACCTGCACTAGCTCACATATCATTATTTGCTGATATTTACCCATTCCAAAGTAATTTCATCCTAACGCGCCATCTCGGAAGAAAAAAAAAACGTTTAAAACGCTGTAGTACGAAACTGCCTCCTTGAACCATTTCTTGGGGAACAAGGGCTGGCGCACTGGTGAGAGCGCTTGCCTTCCACCAATGTGGCCCAGGTTCAAATCCCGGCATCGACGCCATATGTGGGTTGAGTTTGTTGTTGGTTCTCTCCTTTGCTCCTACCGGTTTTTCTGCGGGTACTCCGGTTTTCCCCTCTCCTCAAAAACCAACATTTCCAAATTCCAATTCGATCAGGAATCGGGTAGACGGAGAACCACTCTGTGGATGTGCTACCTCCCAATCTTTATTATTATTATAAGTGTTATTTCTGCCCAGTTTCTTAGCATCTCTAGCCCTCACTTAAATAATCTTCTGAAAAAGATGAGGGAGAGAATGTTGAAAATGGCCCCTTCTTTTCTCTCCTCTCCTGTTCAAGATTGGCCTTCAAGCAAACTTTCCGGCTCCTCTTGCGATTGGGAAGGGAGAGAGTGCAGAGAGAGTTCGTCTTACCTCCACCACCCCACCCTAGACCCTCAAGAATCGAGGATAGGAAGATTTAGTCGCAAGCTAAGAGAAACCTTTTCATTACAAGAATTCCTATAGCACAAGTTTGTCCTACAGGCAAAATATTAAGTCCTTTGCCATACATTCATCTACAAGGTTTGGCATACTGTCGCTAATTAATTACAGGTTTAAATTCCATAGTTAGAGACCGATGCAGATAAACTATGCAGTGTCTTCTTGCCGTTGAACCTGTTTTCTAAACCGGATTCTCCTGTTTTGGAACCAGACCTTTACGTGTGTTTCGGTCAACTTAACTGAGGCAGCCAGTCGACGTCTCTCCTCTCCTGCCACGTACTGTTGCTTGGAGAATGTGCTTTCTAACTGTTCCAACTGCACTGGTGTGAAAATGGTGCGTGATCTCTTATTTGGTTTGTCTTTTTCTTTCTTGCCAGCGTCTTTTTTGTCAAGATCTAAATTTCGTACAACAATGAGCAAAAATCAAATTACAAGCTATGAACTAGATTTGTAGTCGTTACTGATCTTGTTTTTTTACTTCAAAAAGTCCTGTTTGGCTTTGTTGTCCTAATGCGAGTCTCTATTTTAGCCCACAGAACAGGTGTTATTAAGAAAGGCCGAAGCGAGGCACGTAAGAAAGATAAAGCAAAGACGTTTTGGAGCGACACATGTCAACCGGAAGAAGAGGCCTTCTCCTTTTAATATACCTTGACGGTACCAAATTTGTATTGCTTAAGGTGTTTTATCTTTTAGGGACGATTTTCTTAGAATTTGAGCAAAATCACTGCCCGATAATGCGAAAAGTTAACTTGCCCTTGACGCACGTCGCTCGAAAACGCCTTTGCTTACGCTCGCTAACTGGTCTTTCACGCTCCCACACTCGTCTCAAAATTTTTTTCTCACGAAAAGCATTTGCTAAAAACCACACTTTAAGTTCCTGGTGTCAAATTTTCAATAGTAGGTCTATATTGTGCAATATTCTGTTCTTACTGATTGCAAAGTTTTTTGTTCATGTTTGTCATGGCCGAAAGTATTTTTCTTAAAACTATATTTTAACAAACTTCAGTCCAATGCAGGTTAGAGGTGAATTAAGAAACCTTATGGCGATCGGACCAAGGATAAAGTCGCTTTTAAGGCGATTGAAAATATTGGTATGGTCCCCTAAAAGCTGTATCGAAATACCTTGATTAAATAGCTCTGTACCTTGCCAGCCAACAGCGCATGCTCCGTGTTGACAGCAGTGATGCTGAGGAAACGGTGAGTAGTCAACCTGACCAGCATCCTCAGCGAAGAGAAGATGACGATAAAATGGGTTAGACAAAAAGGAAGCCTCTGCTTGAGAAGTCGTGCGAGAAGACAAAATAGCGCGAATGGAAAAAGAACTTGTAAATTGATGGTTTTCTTCACTGGCAGTAAAAGGAGACAAATCAGTTTTGGAAGTTTGCACCATTGCCGATGGTTTCGAGACGGCTAGAGAAGACACATTCGTTGGAATAGTGGCAGACATTTTTCTTGAACACTAAGAAGCAACGACTAATAATGGCAGAATTTCAGTGTGGCACTTTAATTATAATGTTCGCCAGAAAAAAAAACACGCGTTCAGTCTCACAGGAAAAGAGCAGAGCGGTACAATGTGACTGATAGTTGGGAAAATGATTGAAGCTAATTAATTTTTAAACGTTTTATCTCAAGGGTTTCTAACACCCAACGTTTGAAAACAAGTAATCATTGTCTTGGATACTTTCCGCGGTTGTGTCCTTAAAAAAAAAGCAGAATAGAGGGGAGGTGGTAAAATTTGGAGAACGTTTTGTAAAGTGGTTAATAAATTGTCATTATTTTTTCATTTAATCGTTATGATCTCGTTTGCGGAAGCAATTGTAAGACAATCAAAAAAGTAAACAGGTGTAATAATCTCAGGCTTGCTTTTTTGATTCTTTATATTGCGCGTTACTTTAAATGTAATGACTTTGTGCTCAACCTGATGGACTAAGTACAACTTACAGTAATTAGAGAATTTTACAAAAGAACTCTCTAACCACGCCGGTCTATGATTGATGGAAAATATGCTGCAATTAAAGGTATAATTTACACCAATTGTGACTTTTTAGTATGTGTTAAAGACCTTATTAGTCAAACCTGATGGGGGTCTCTAAGCATAATAGCGTAATAATGAAAAGACTCAGTAATTTCAAAGCAGATAAATACATCCGTATTCTGTAAGATGGAAATTGCTTTCGAGAATAACAAATCGTAATAAAGGATTCAAGCATTTAAGATAAACAGAGCATGTACCAGGTGTTTTTTTTTTCAGTCCTTTCCCAATTCCAACTTCGCAAAAGCCAGTGAAAGAAGTGATAGCGTCCCCACAAAAGTTCCATGATGCAATTCGACACAACACTGACCCAGACACAAGCACTAATTCAAAATGACCAATATGAAACCATCTCAACCTATTACTAGCTTAATTTGCTTTGACGAAGAACTAGCACTCCACTCATCCGGGCTTTTTCAATCTGGCTTTTAACGGTGGTAAATTGATTTAACAGCTCAGTTGACATAGACAAATTCTTTCATTAAGCCGGGTGGATTTCCACTGTCGCGTAATTTTTACGTGCGTGTACACGCACGTAAAGTTTACTCGCGTAAATAAATTAAAATAGAGACAAACATAAACTATTGAGCTTAAACGTGAAGTTGCTAGTGTAACGTCAGGGACGCGTGTTTTATCAATACAAATACTTAAGTACTCAACCAGAGGAGAAATATCATAAAGATCAAATATCTTCAGTTATTGCCTAAAGTTTTGTCGATTTTAGTCGCTAAAAATAAACTACGCTAAGTTAAATTAGGAAGAGTTATGCACAATGATCTGAAAATACACTTTGGACCCTAGCGGTGTTAAAAGATCTGCAGGTATGAAACGAGGCAAATGGCGTTTCCCAACGGCTGGCCCCTTTTAAAACTTGTGATGCGAGATTTATTGAGCTCCTTAGAGCCATTCTGAGTTCCCGGGTTCTTGAAGTAAATTCCCCTTCTGTTTCACGAGTTCCCGAATTCCCGAGTCCCTTAGTTCAAAAGTGTCCACTCTCCTGATATCCCGGGTTCTTTTGCCAAAGACTCTTAGGCAAATAGAAAGTCTTGCCTGTATCACAACGACTGTGCTCCAGACAAACTTTCTGTACGGAATGATTGGTTAGTTGTCGAAGTGCTGTCAGATGCCGTCAGTGAAGAGAGCCTTACTGAACCTGTATAAGTTTCTACCCTTCTTGGCCTGACGCAACCCACAGCACGAGAAAATAGATTTTTAAAGGCTCGGACAAACGGGGGCATCCGCCATGCATACAAAAACTGATTTGCAGCACAGTTGATGAGGGCCATCAGAAACTGGAAATCTCGCAGCCAGTGTATGACATCACAGCTGCATGTGTAACAAAGTAAGATGATGTAGATTATGACGCATGAAGTTACGTTGCAGATGACGAAAACGAAGAGCACGAGAAGAAAAGATCTCGTCGCCTTCTTCTCATACTTTAACCTCTGTTGTGCGAATCTGTCGTCCTGTGAGAATGTCCCGCGTTCAACATGGGCGTGGAGGCTTTGATATATTCGAATGTACGCATACGTTATGATCACTAGAGTGGCAATGATTGTTGTGTTGGCAAAAATAAAGACAAATGTATAGAAACCAGTGGCAAAGTAAACATTTGAAATAGCGATGGAGAAAATCCATATCAGAACAGATCCGGTAATGGTTTTGGAGCGCGAGTAAGTTCGTCTGTAGTTTGAGGTAACGGTCAGGTATCTCTCTGTTGCTAAAGCGGAAATGCTGAGTATTGAAGCCGTACAAGATATAAAATAAGTAATGTGGACAATCTGTACACGTTTCATCACTTGGTAATTCTGTGCTTCCCCGACATGAAAGAGTACGAATAAAGGCTCTGTTATCAGTCCCGTGATGAGATCAGCAATGGAAAGATTTAATACCAGGTAATTGAAAGACACTTTTAATTCTTTGTTTGGATCTTTAACGATTGCCCAACAAATCAGCAAGTTTCCGGGCCACGTGATGACGCTCAAGGTGGCTACTATGGTTGCAGTCGTTACCGAAAGTGCAAAAGGTGGCTTCTGGTCTTCACATAACTTTGTTCCAAACAGTGACCCCATAATAACGACTTAGGAAGAGAAAACTGACTTGCTAAGACGTTCCGTCCGCTGTTTAATTTCGTCGATTATTGCTTCTCTTGAATTGATGTTTTGATGTCAGGTGTTCCCTTATATAAGCAAACAAGGGGGTAGGAAGCAGGTGCTTTTTTGTTCAACAATATATCTTCCTATCCTCCAAAATTTCCTACAAATTAGTGATATGATGAATTAGACAAATCGCTGATATGATTTACCTCAAAGAAGTATTCTGTCGAGTGTCAGTTCAAATGAATGAATCAATGTTTCAGTTTCAGAGATGTTCAAAATAAAAACTATGAGAGCAATAAATAACAGAGAAAATATAATTTCATGAACATTGATTAATTCTCATTCAAATCACGCTCTAAACTAAAGCCGATCCTATTTTTTTCACGTAAAGTTAAGCCTGCTACCAGTCATTGTATATTTAGAAAAAGTGAAAAAATTGCTTACAAAAGAGGCAAAATTTTTCATCTGAACATGAATATAATCGTAGATAACCGATTGACGTAGGTTAAACATGGAATTGAATGTTGAGCTGCTTATTTTGCGAGAACAAATGCTGAATGTATATCTTACCTGCTGTAGCAAATTGTGAATGCTAAAATTTATGAAGGTTCTGATTATTATAAATAAGAACGCCAAGTTTGCAATTAAAGCGCTCCTTTGGCGTTAGCACTGAATAGACAGGTTTTAATAAATATTATTATTTTTTCTATTTAAACAATCTTATGCATGCTGGATATGTCCTTACTAAACAAATAATTCTGAAAATGGAGCCTACAATGTTATATTGCTCGCCTCTAACTTGGAAAACTGCTAGGGCCATATTGACCCTCGCATTGCTGAAAAAGCAAACAACAACAACAACAAAAACAATATCAGTACCAGATAACAGAAATATTTATAAGGCTGGCAGAATTTACTCTATTTCTAATGACAGAAATTTATTCCATGCAAATAAATTTTGCACCAAAAAAACCATGTGGTCCCTTTGGTTTAACGTAGAAAGGAGAAAAAAATATTACTAGTTTAACAAACAAGCGCTATCAATATTCGTCAAGTAAGTGTGCATGCTGGATATGACCGTAGTAAACAAATAGTTCTAAACGCGGAGCTTACAATGTTATATTGCTTGCCTTTAAATTGGAAAACTACTTGGGCCATATAGACCCTCGCGTTGCCATCAAAAAGAACTAATTACAAATGACTGACTTCAAATCAGTATCAGGTATTAAACAGAAATTTTTAGGGCTGGTAAAATATAAACTTTCTCTGATGATGGAAGAAATTTATTCTGTGGAAATGAAGGTTGCATCAAGAAACACTGTGGCCCCTTTAACGTACAAAAGAGGAAAATGTTTTAAAAGTTTAACTAGCAAGCGTTAAAAAAAATAATTCGTCAAGTAAGTATGCATGCTAGGAATATGACCGCTCTAAACAAATAATTCTAAAAGTGGAGCAAACAATGTTCTATTACTTGCCTCTTAATTGGAACAATACTAGGACATTACTGGGGCGATATAGACCCTCGCGTTGCCATAAAAAAGAACTAATTACACATAGCTGACTTCAAATCAATGTCAGATAACAGAACTATGTAGGGCTTGCAGAAGATAGACTTTCTCTGAGGCAAAAAATTTATTCCGTGAACTCAACATGACGGCTGCATAACACTCATTCACACATTTACACTAAGGGGGATAACAGAGAAAAAGCTAAAGCGAGAGATAAAAATCAAAGGAGATGTGTTTAGTTACAAGAACAACTTTAAAATTTCAGTCATAGCGGCGGTGAGAAATTCAAATGAGAAATGCTAGCGACCAGCAGGGTGAAAATGAGCGGCAGTGAAGAAAAAGGCGAACAGGAACAAAAGCAACAAAATCTTTTTTGAGCACATACGACATTTCATCCATAAAACGTGTGTTAACCAGGAAGTTTGTCAAGTTTCACGTTGCAGTCGTGCAACGACAAAACGGACCTTAAGTTAGGCTGAACGGTAAGGTGGAGGACGGCAACCGGAAATAAAAGTTGTCCGATTTGGGACTACAGTAATTAGCATATATCTCAGCCGTCCAACCTACGTCGTGCACGTCGCGACGGTGAGAACGCTGAGTGCGGCGGTGTCTCGAGAACGTGAGTTTTTTCTTCGTGTTTTCGTCTTCAAAACATCTTTATTTTAACAGAATACCGCTTTAATATGTTTCTGGAGTGTCTAGTTTACTTCAAATGGTAAACCTTTTTCGATTACTTACTGAACACTATTTTATGATTGAATATAGCAACAGCAAGTGGTACAACTGCAGGATTAGAATTCCCAGCGAT